CTGTAATTGTGTTTTAGAAGGCCATTCCATACTTCTATCAAGCTCTCTGCCTCAGGATGATGGGGAACATGGTAATACTAGTCCATCTTATGAGCATCACCATACTTCATTTGCTGTAAAGTGAGTACCTTGCTCTGTGGTTCCTTGAGGTGATGTTGTGTGAGATCCCTTACTTGTGGATAAGACATAATAGAAGTCCCTGAATGGTTGTTTTGGCAGAAGTCTTGGTTGCAGAGAGGACAAAGCATATTCACAGTAAGTGTATTCAGTAAGAAGTTATCTATCAAACTCTGCCATTGATGTAATCAGAAAACAAATCCATTACCATCCAGTCGATCTTCATTCTTCATTGCAACTCTACAGAGGGTGTCTTGGGCTTTAAAAATGGGAGCAGTCAGCTACATCTCCCTTCCATGAAGGGATGGTGGATCTGAGCGTCTAACTGTGATTAGCAGTCCAATTCTTACTCAGTGGTGTATTGTGCAAGTAAAATTGTGCTGAAAATTATCCAATAATGGTGGAAACAGTATGCTATCAGAAAGCTGCCACAGAGTCATAATGGATTCAGAAGGGGACATGGAGTGAGGACTGATTCATGGACTGATATCATTGCTAACATCAGATGTTTCTTGGCTGAAAGTGGAGAATACCAGAAAGATGTGTACTGATGTTCTGTTGATTATGCAAAAGTCTTGACTTGGATGATAACTATGGTAATTATTTCTTTTGTAAGAATTAATAACAGACAAGGGTCAAGGAGTTGGAGGTTGAAGATGTACTTTGCTCCATTTTTCTCCCACTCCTCTATGGTCCTGGGTCCTGCATTTCACTGACCGCAATATCCCATAGCTACTCACAGAACTTTGAAGAAATGTCTCATGTGCTTGGTGGTGCTAGTAAGTACAAATCCTGAGGGTTGGGCAGGGGTCAGCTAAATTCAGGGTCCAGAGCCAGAACCCCAAATGTTCACAAGCCACAATGGATTTTCTTCTTTTCTCAAAGCTCAGTCAGGAAAATAGAGGTCTGGCTTTCCATGTGAGACAATGAGACAATGAATAAAAGTGGAATTATACGGGAGTACCACAATATAACCAGGAAAACGCAAATGTGGCCTGGTTCATGCTACGTTCTGAAGTGGAATCTTAAAGATGTCATCAAGGAAACAAAGAGTGCGGCCATATTCACAGCTTAAACACAGGTCAGGTCTTAATCCCTTCTTACTTCTGTTCATTGAGAATTGAGAATGCCCTCCAAAATGGAATGGTAGCGCGGGCTTATAAAAGGCCAGGATTATAATATATCACTTAAGTAAGTATGGCTAGAAGGCTACATCAATTGACTATATATCTCAATGATAAATTATGGAAAATGCTTCAAACAATGAGATTTCCAGAACACGTACTTGTGTTCATGTGACACTTGCATGTAGATAAACGATCATTAAAACAGAACAAAGTAAACATGTGAGGGTCAAGTCCTTTCACCAAGCTTAATCAATTTATATGCTTAGCAAATAATCCAAGAAGCTGAATTCTGTGAAGAAGAACTTGCAACTGTTTGGAGGAAAGCTCATTATCAACCTGTGACATTCAGAATAAACACCCTTGATAACTGAAACGGAGGCAAAATTGAAGTACATGCTGATGAAGATCGGAGGACAGCATTCAGTACGGACTGCAAGTCAGTCTGAAGAAAATAAAACTCACAACTTCACTAAGAACCAAAATAGCGGTGGGGGCGGGGTAACGATTGAGGTGGTCATGGATTTCCATTCACTTGGGTCCAGACTCAGGGAAGAAGCTGTCAGGAAATCAAACGATGCACAGCGCTGGGCAACGCTGCGGCACAGTCCTCCTTAAATGACAAAGAGCAAAGGTGTCACTTTGAGGTGTAAGATACACCTGACTCAAACCATCTCATTTTCAATCACCTCATATGCTTGTGAAAGCCAGAAAATGAATAAGGAAGACCAGAGAATGTATACCTTTTCATTATGATGTCAGCGAAGAAAATTGAATATACCATACATTGCCAGAAGACAAACAAAATTTTTTGGAAGAACTATCGTTGAAATTTTCCTTAGAAGTCGGGATGACAAGTCTTCCACTCATGTGCTTTGCACATGTTATCGGGAGGGACCAATCCCTGGAGGAGGACAGCATACTTGGTAGAGCGTCAGCAAAAAAAGAAAAGAGAAAGGAAGACCTTTGATGAGATGGATTGAATCGACAAAATGGTTGCAGCCATGCAACTTAAAAAAGCAGAACAATTCTTCGGATGGCATAGACCCCGTCAGATGTTGTTGTGCCCGGAGTCAAGAGTTACTTGATGACGCATAATATACACACACAGTCCTGTATAGCTGGTTATGTACTGTGGCTCTATGGAGGACCATAATTCATTGTATTGTGGGAAACGTTTTCAAGAACTGAGTTTAGCAACCTCCCCTCACACCTAATTCAAGGCTAAGACTGTTCTTACTGAAATGCATGTTAAACACATACCAAATTGAGAGCCACTCAGTTTAACATGACAGTAGCTCACAAAATTTGGTTAGAAATGCAACTATTTGGGCCCCACCTTTTACCATATTGAATGAAAAGCTCTGAACCTGAGCTCATACAAAATGTGTTTTATTAAGACCTGCCAAAGAGTTTGATGTCTGCCAAAGTTATGGATAAATTGCTCATAAATGGGCCCATGGCTAATTTTTTGTTGCTGTTGCTAATTTTAATATCAAGAAAGTTACTTTGTGTTTCAGGATCTGATTATTTTTTTACCTAGAAGTAGCCCGGGGTGTTTGAACCATACTTAAAATAACAGTACATACACTTCTTTCATAACCCCCTTGTCAGAAGTTCCTACTGTGAATCTTACCTGAATGCTGTAGGAGAGGGGTGCATTGAGAGCAGAAACCTCTCACTCTTTCAGTATGACACTTTTAATATGGTTTGATTGTGGCAAAACTCTAGATAACAAAATATTTTCCATTTCAACATTTTTGACATGTATGAGTTGGTGACATATATTGCTTTTCTTGTGTAGCATAGCTCTCTCTCTCCCTCTTAAATGTTACTATTCCCCTTAACAGAAACGCACAGACATTGATCCCCTCTTTTCTTTTCCCCTCTCACCCAGGTAACCGCTATCAACCTTCGTTTTCTATGTTGTTGTTAACATTTATGGAGTAGCCCTTTGACCCATGGCAATCATGTACACAACAAAATGACCTGACCTGCACCATACACTTGGTTGGTTGCAGATCAGACAGTTCAGATCCATAGTATTTTCTCTGCATAACTTTTATAATTAGGCCACACAGCCTTTCTTGTTAGCCTTTCTTTGACTGGAAGATCTGCTGAAACCTGTTATCTCTGCATTTGTCTATCGAGAACTCCAAACTCACTGCCATTGAATCTTTCCAGATCATAGTGACCCATAGGGACCCTCTGGTCTCTTACATCTTTACCAGAGCAGAGAACCTCACCTTTTTCCCAAGGAAAGAATATTGAGTTCTAATCGCTGACCTTGCTGTTAGCAACTCAATGCATACCCTACGACATCAGCAGGGCTCTTGCACTGTCCAAAGGATACTTAACGTACATGGGATCATACGCTAATTGTTTCTTTGACTTCCTCTTTTAACCCAGTATAACTTGTAGTATGGATCAAGACTTCATTTCTTTAGAGTTGATTAATATTCTTTTGTATATACTACAGGTTGTTTAGTCATCTGTTGAACTTTTAGGTAACATCTGACTTTGGCTGCTGTGACTAGTGTTGCATTTATTATTTTAGTATGCAAGAGCGCCTTTATTTTCAGGCTTTCATTTCTTGAGGGGAAGTATATATCTATGGGAGGATTGTTGAGTCATATGAGAATGGAATGTTTAAATGTTTTGTGTTTATCAGTCCCTCCAAACTATTTTCAATAGGTACTTATATTTTCTTTTACATGTTCATCATCTTACATTCCACCAGCAATGGAGTAGAGATCCAATTTAATAATATCCTCGACCACACTATTTTTGGTTGTAGTTTTGTTTTACATTTTTCTGGTGTTTTGATGATAGCAATCCTCATGAAGTAAAGTAATAAGACTTTGATTTGTGGCTTTGATTTTTATTTCTCTAGTGACAATTTTATATTTAGAAAAAGAATGTCTACCTACTAGTGCAAGGCATTTTCATTAGAATTATATTAACAAAGGTTTCCCAAAAATCAGTGAGTGAAAAAAAATAAACAAGGATATATTCACATCGTGCCTTGAAGAGCATTCCATTGTTCTGTAGTAGAACAAACAAAACACAGGTCCCAATATTGAGGAGTATGGGTGATGTCAGATATGTGGAAGGATTGGAGTTTTTCAGGAGGAGCCTGCCTATGCCTTGTCCATCAAAATTTTCACTTACAATATCTGCTACTGTGCTTTTACGAAAGAAGGAGCACTTTTTAATTTTGTTGTTGTTGTCTTCGTTCCACAGTTTCTTCAGCTCTGTGTTCTCCTACTTACCATTCTAATTGTGTCCTTGCACAGATTGGCTCGCCCACTTTATTGACTTTTTTCCAGCTTAAATATATGCAGCCAAGTAATAAACAGATGTATTTATTTTCATATGTGGCATGATCCAAAAGAGAACTTTGGTTTATAGAAATTAGAGCATAAAAAATAAAAGACTACTGTGGTTGTGGACCTCAACTAATCATAGAGCACTCAATGCCCCCGACTTGAGAAATACCTTGTGATGCCACAAAGATGCCACAAACTTGCACTTCACAGTTCCGTTCTTTGAGACCTCCTCAAAGTCATTAATTTGGAGAATTTACATAGCTAAAAACTCAATCTCAGATTTCGTGATAGAAAATTTAAAAAGCTATGTGTTCATCTGAACATCTTAAGCTATAGCACATAAAATTAGAATTAGAATCAAATAATATATGGAGCAGAACCACATACAAGTTTTTTCCTATTCTTTTTTTTTTTGTTGTTGTTGATATAGATGGAGCTGGCTAAGGAAGAAAAGTGTGAATTTTTGCCGTTTCTCTCCCCGCGGAAGGTTATAGTCAAAGGTGGGAGAATTGCTGGGATGCAGTTTGTTCGGACAGAGCAAGACGAAACTGGAATGTGGAATGAAGACGAAGATCAGACAGTCCACCTGAAAGCCGATGTGGTCATCAGCGCCTTTGGCTCAGTGCTGAGTGATCCTGCAGGTAGAGTGCTCAGAAACTGAAATGTGCTATGCAATTGTCTGTGATTTAGTGACACAATCGTTTCCAGCTTTCAGGGAATTGTTTTTCACTTTAATATTCACTGATCTCCTCTCGTACAGAATGCAAGCAATCTTGATTTTAAAAGGCTTAGAAATGGTATTTAATGCTTATGCCACATTATCTCCAAAGTGGTGAGAATGGCAAGGAACACTAGCACTTTTCTTTTCCAACTGATAATCAGCTACATATTCAATTGCATAATAATGTTTGCCTTCTTTCCAATGTAAGAACGGTTTTTCTCCAGTTAAAATAGAGCAAAAATATGAGACAGAAAAGTAGTAGCTGCCAGTCTCCAATGATTCAGGATAATAAGGATAAAGGAATAGGCAAAACTATAATAAAGTTCTTCTTTCCTCATTTCAAACCATCATTAAAAACATATGTGTTCTACTTTTCACTTTTCAAGCTGCCATGGAAAACACCAAAATTGTCTAATTTAAAAGTTTGAACTACTGACATTTCATCTGGCTAGCGTAATGAGAGAAGAAAAGATTGTATGTAGCACTTTCAAGTGAATATTAAGTAAATCAATTAAAATTATTTGTGTTACTCTTTTCCCACAGCATGTTTTCATGGGCCACTATAGGTAAAATTCCAGGTGCTTAGGTGCCATCAGTGTACATATCATTTAGCATTGAATTAACCTGGGTAAAATGTCTGTTAAGTCTTTTATTTGCTCAGAGAAAATTAAAAGACATTTCTTCATGTCAGAGATCATTTAACAGTAGCAGTAACAAAAATTAAAAGTCTCAACAATTCTTAACCCCAATGTCCTAGTCTATCCAGATTAGAATTATATTTTGCATCTGAAATAGGAAGAGGTATGTGGATACCAATGTGCTGTTTTATACAGCAGATCAGTGAAACATTCAGCCAGTCATCAGGATATTTTATCTGCAGGACATAAAACATCTTGGTATTTGGAAACATCCAGATGTTTAATGTCATCAAGATAAATGTTTTCAAATAGCTGGATGATGGCCTGAATTTGTCACTTTTCATCTAGATGTTTATGTGATATGTAGACACAAGCATAGTGTGGTTTGTTTATTCATTAATTGGGTGTGGTAGGAGAAAAAAATAACAATGTGAAAATTGCATTTTATTTCCTAAAATATAATTTCTTCCTACTCTGAACAGCATCAGAAAATGGATAAAGTCTTCATCATACTGGCATGATTTGACTATGAAAAAATAACTTAGTTTGTACATCTAAATTTATGTTGCACAACTGGCAATCCTAATATTGAGAAAACCATCTCTTTTCCTAAGGAAACTTAAATATATATGATTCAGTCTATTATAGAAAACAACTTCTGCCATCTCAGATGTGATTTAGGTAGGCTTATGCTAGGGAGGGATGTGTTTTCTTGTGTATGTGTGTGTATGTGTGCAAAGAGTGAGAAGTTTAATTTAGCTTATAAAATATGAAGAGAAGAAAGTTTTATGTGTGTTTGTTTACCAGACACATCCCAAAATGTCTTATTCTAGAATTAGTGTTCTTCTTCCACAACTACTGCCACATCTACATTTACAGAAGTCAAGGGGAAAATTGGTTCTCAACTATAATTTGTTTTCTCCCCTTCTATTTGAAAGAAAGGAGCCTGGTTTTGTAGTGGCTATGCTCATTGGGCTGTGATACACTAGGTCAGCCGTTCAAAACCAGTAGCTGCTCCGTGCTAGAAAGATGGGGCTTCCTACTCCCAAAAAGGGCTGCAGTCTCACAGACTCACAGGGGCAGTTCAGTCATGTTCTCTAGCGTTGCTATTCGTTGGCATCGACTCAATGGCAGTCAGGTTTACTTTTGTTTGCTTGTTGTTTTGGAAATAACAAACCTGGACAAATTATCCACGAATATACTTCCCATGGGCGTGCACTCTCCCACCCCAATAACATTGCCTTTGATTCCCACTTACAATAATCCTATAGACAGGGTGGAACTGCCTCACAGGTTTTCCAAGCTGTACTTTTTATGAAAGTGGACTGCCACAGTTTTCTTCCACAGAGTATCTACTGGGCTCCAACTGCCCACCTATCGAATTAGAAGTCTAGGAATAAATCACTACACCACCAGGTTTCCTTCCTGCTTCTCCAGTGCTCTTTCAAGGTTACATTAACGGGAGGTTACTGTTCAGGTAAGCGGAAGCCTGGAAGTGCTGTAATGCTAATGAGCAACTATGCCTCAACTTCTAGCCAAATGATGTCAGCACTAAAGGAAAGCCTTCTGGAAAGAGGTGGGAGTAGGGGGTCACAGTGTTTGTCAGGAGTTGATCAAGAGGACCTGAACTCATTGGCATTTAAAACTTTCAAAAGAGAAATGTAAAAGTCTAAAAACTTCCATGTGCTTACACTTATTGATGGCCTGGTGAAAATAATCTGTCTCTTTTGGTAAAAAGATATGTTATCTTGTGTTCTTTTCCCTGCCTCACCCGCCCAAATCAAACTCATTGCCATTGAATCCAGTCTTACTCCTGACCACTCGATAGGACAGCATAGAATTACTCCTGTGGGTTTCCAAGACTGTAACTCTTTAATACCTTACGTAAAAAGGCTCAACTTTCTTGCACACAGTGGCTGGTGGGTTTGAACTTCTGACTTTGGGGCAAGCAGCCCAACATATAATCACTATGCCAGGTTATCCTAAATCTTGTCCCATCCAGAGACCAATGGGATGCGCTAACATATTTACCTGCAGCCTTTTTTTGAGACTGATAAACTGTATTTCCACCTGTCTCCTTCCCTCCTCCGGGGATCACTTTGCACAGACTCCGATGAACTGGGTGCCAAACGGAGTGACATCCTTCCAGTTCTTCTCCATTCTGCATTTTCCAATGTGAAACTGTTTCTTCTTTGAAATGCTCTTTATCAAGACCCGTAACCTCTCTGAGCATCAGATTCTTAACTATTAAAACAAAGTATAATAATACCTCTCCCCCTGCCTTTCAGGGCTGTTGTCAAAAATAAAGTGAAATAATGTGAAAATGCTTTAGAAACAAAACCATAATATATTATTATTGTTTATGACACTCCATTTAATTTCTTTTCCCTTTAACTATTACCGATCCTATCACTGAATATTTTGCTTCCTTGCACTTATTACTTTTTAGTAGCTTCCAAAGGTCAAACTTTGCCAGTTTGAGTTTTTAATATAATTATTCCATCAGTGAACTAATTATGTCTCATTCACTCATTCAT